CTGCTACTCCAAACCCTCCCCAACCCAGCTCTGCTGGCTGGGGGTCAATTTAATTTCAGCTCCAATCCCACGCTCACCCCTACTCCAAACTACCCCAATACAACTCCAACCCCAAACCAAGCCCTACTGAATCTCGATTCAATTCCAACCCTACTCTAACCCCAATCCAACTCCAACCCTGCTCCATTTCCAACTCCCAACCCTACCCTAAGACAAACCCCACTCCAATCTCAACCCCATTCCAACCCTGCTCCAGTTCCAGCCCAGTTCCAGGCCCCCCACTCACACAAGTTGTGCTTGCGGGCGATGTAGCGCAGGATCGCGTTGCTCTGTGTCAGCTTGGTGGGGCCATCGATGAAATATGGGAGCTGGGGGGACAGAGGGACATGGGGACACTGGGACATCGAGACACTCCCAATCATAACCTGCCCCTCCCCAGCTCCAGACCACCTACGTTGGGGAAGTCAAGCCCCAGCTTCTCCTTCTCGTTGATCCATTGGCTCTTATCATAGTCAGGAGCTGGAAGGGAAGGGGGAGCTGGGTGATGTCGTGTCCTCCCCAAAAGCCAGAGAGGTTGAGGGTGGTGTGGGGACCCTCTGACCCCCCCTCACCTTCCCCACAGCTGTAGAGCTTGTCCTCGTAGGGTGTCTCTGTGTACTCCAGGAGCAGGCGGATGGCGTGGGCGAGCTGGGGAGTGGGATCAATGAGACACCCCAAAAACATTCCCCACACACGAGCCTGGAGCTGGCTCACACATGGGCAAACTGAGGCACAGGGGAGGGCAAACTGAGGCACAGGGGAGGGCAAACTGCACCCCCTTCCAGTGAGCACCCTCTGCACAGGGGGACCTCGCCCAAAAGCAACTCCCTCCCACCCCAAAATGCAGCAGGACCCCCACAGTCCCCCCACAAGACACCCCAGACTATCCCCAAGAGATCAAGGACACCTCCAACAGTTTCCCCAAAGACCTGAGGGGTCCCTGCAGAACCCCCCAAGAGACCAGAGGGGCTCCCACAGTTCCTCCCAGGATTAGGAAGACAGCCCAAGAGTCCCAAAAGACCAGGGAGACCCCCACGGCCTCACTCCAAGTGTGACCCCCTGCAGTCCCCCCCAGGACTAATGGTCCACCACGGCCGCCGCCCCCAAAAAAACAGAGGGACTCCCACAGCATGCCCAAAAGACATAGGAAACCCCCGAAGACCCCCCATAAACAGGGGGGGGATCCCCGAAGACGCCCCGCAGCCATCCCACTAGCCTAAAGGGACCTCCCGCAGCCCCCCACAAGATCAATGGGACCTCCGACCTCTCGCTGCCCCCTAAAAGTTCCAAGGGATCCCCACAGCCCCCCCAAGACAAAAGCAAAGCCCAGAGACCCCTGCAACCCCCACCAAAAGGGAACCGCCCAGCCCCCACCGCCAAAACCAGCAGGGCCCCCGCGCCACGCAGAAAGCGCAGAAGGGACCCCAAAAACCCGCGAACATCCCCTGCAGCCCCCGAAGGACCAAAGGGACCCACGAACACCCGCTACGTCCCCCCAAAAAGTGCGGGGGGACCCCGCCATCCCCCTCGGGAGACCCGGGGGTCCCGCAGCCCCTCCCCCTCTCGTGAATCCCCCCAGGGAGTGGGGGGTGCCCCCAGGTCTCCCCTGGTCCCCCCCGGGTCCCCGCTCACCCCTCGGATGTCCCAGTACCCCAACACCGCCATGGCGCGCGTGACTGCGGGCACGCCCTGCCCGGGGCGGGGCTCGGCCTTAACGGGACCGGGATCCGCCGAGCGACCCCCCCCCGACCCCTCTACAGGGGGATCTGTGCCCCCCCCCACGTCCGCATGGAACCCCCTTACCCACAACCCCCCCCACCCCCCCAAACTCCACGGGCTTCCCCATATCCCGGAATTCTGCGACCCTCCCATGCCCATGAGAACCCCCTTATCCCGGGGCTCTGCGACCACCCCAAGGTCCACAGGCTCTCCCTTTACAGGGGGTTCTGTGACCTCCCCACATCCGCATGGAACCCCTTTATCCTGGGGACTCCACAGCACCCCCGAACTCCACGGGTTTCCCCATATCCCGGAGCTCTGCGATCCTTCCATCCCCATGGGAACCTCCTTGTCTTGAGGGTTCTGTGACCCCCCCAAGCTCCATGGGGTCCCCCTTTACAGGGGGTTCTGTGCCCCTCGAGGTCCGCACGGAACCCATCTACCCTGGGGACTCCACAAACCCCCCAACTCCACGGGCTTCCCCATATCCCGGAGCTCTGCGATCCTCCCATCCCCATGGAAACCCCCTTATCCTGGGGCTCTGCGACCCCCCCAGACTCCACGGAGTCCCCCTTGTCCTGAGGGTTCTGTGCCCCCCCCCAGGTCCGCATGGAACCCCTTTATCCTGGGGACTCCACAACACCCCCAAACTCCACGGCTTCCCCGTATCTCGGGGTTCTGTGATTCTCCCATGCCCCCTTGTCTTGAGGGTTCTGTGACCCCCCAAACCCCACAGGGTCCCCCTTTACAGGGGGTTCTGTGACCCCCACGTCCACATGGAACCCCCTTATACTGGGGACTCCACAACCCCCCTAAACTCCATGGGCTTCCCCCTATCCCAGAGTTGAGACCCTCCCATCCCCATGGGAACCCCCTTCTCTTGAGGGTTTTGTGACCACCCCAACCTTCATGGGGTCCCCCTTATTCTGGGGTGTCTGCGACCACCCCAAGTTCTACGGGGGTCCCCTTTAACAGGGGGCTCTGTGACCCTCGCCATCCCCATGGCTTTGTGACCCCTGAAATTCCACGGGGTCCTCCTTATCCTAGGGGTTCTGTGACATACCCCATCCATCCCCACGGGACCACTTTATTCTGGGAGCACTTCAACCCCACAAGCTCCATGGGATCCCCTTATTCTGGGGCTCCCCTTAAATTCCATGGGTTGTCCCTTTTCCTGGGAGCCCTGTGACCCCCCCAAACCCCAGGGGAACTTCGTTATCCTGGGGGCCATGGGTCCCTCTGTGGCACCCCCCAAAGCTTCCTCGGGGTTCCCCCTCTCAATCCCCTAAGTTGCGGGGGGGGGGGTCTCACTATCCTGGGGGGTCACCTTGGTCCCCACAGTCTCCACGGGGGTCCCCTTATCCTGGGGACGCAGGGAGGAATGGCTTCTCCCACCCCGAGATCCAGGAGGGTCCAACAGCACCCCCAGGGGTTACCCCACAAATGAGGAGTTCCCACAGTTCCCACCACGGTTCCTCAGCAGCTCAGTGCACCCCACACAGTTGCTGGACAAGGG